ATTGCGCTACGGGAACGTTGTCCCTCTCTTTGCCATTTAATTTGCCAGTCTCTTTTTTATATAAGGCAATTTTAACAGTTGCTATGGAAAAAATGAATATTAAAAAGTATTCCTTTTATTTTTTAAAGCTCACTCACGGTATCGAACCATTTCATCCATGATGTAAATTTCAGTGGTTATGTTATGTTATATCTACTCTTTTTACAGAACTCATATTCTGTCGAATCCAGTGACGCTGAAATTTTCATGATATTTTCTTTTTTCCAGTTAATCCGCGAATTTTTCAACATAAACAGAGCTTAGAGTGGAAATTTAGATTAGGCCGGGCTTAATATAAAAATCCGTTTTTTCTTTTCCGTTTTAAAAATTATAAACACGCCCAAAGAGATTTTGTTTCAGATTTATGTTGCTGTCTGGAACGAACAAAATTATCTAAAATGAAATATTTTTGTAAAGAAAAATATAGAATGTATGAAGAAAAAAAAATATATAGAGCATACAGATTATAAAAAAGTAGCTCTTGATGATTTTTTTCCATAAAATATCGGCATATGTAGTATATTTTATGTAGATTCAGAATATACAGGGTGGTCCGAATTCGTTGTTCGTATAAATGTTTGTCCTAAGCTGCTTAGTTTTAGAGGTACAGGGGGTAGAATTTTCATTTTTATTTCGATTTTTTCTAAATAATTTCTGAAATAACGTCAATATTTGGATGAAAATTGGTGTCTGAGAGAGTTTTTTGACATTACTTCAGAAGTTATTTGGAAAAAATAGAAATAAAAATGAAACTTTTACACCCTTTATCCCGAAATAAGCATGTTAGGACATACATTAATATAAACTTTTTTACTTATTTTTATCTGCAGAATATGCTGCTTAAGTTTCTGGAATACAGTTCGGACCACCCTGTATATTTAAAAAAATAATTTTTGTTTATTTTCAAGAGGAAAAAAGGCATTTTTAACATTAAGACACCTACGCAATTTTAAGATTAAAATAATAAAGCATAAACTAAACTAAAAAAATATATAAATCAATCCGTGAAATAATGTAGTTTTTTCCAGTAAACATCATTCCCACTCACTATTCCTTTAATGAGCTTTCTATTATTGTTTTAGAAATAGAAATAATTAATTATACACATTTATTAGCTTTAAAACTGGGAAAAAATCTTATAAACATACTTTTCTACACTCCAATTAACTGATACTCCTACAGCGTACAATATGGTATAAATAAGTATACTATAAATCGTAAAATCACTATAAACAGTAATTATTAAAGTCAATTTTTATCACACTTCAACGTATGTTCTGGGCATTTGCTAATATACTTTGAAACATACACAAATAAAAAAATATATTTGTGCATGTTCAAAGTTGAAGAGGTAAATATTTTGGCCAACTGTATAACAACTTACACACCGAAAAAAACCGCAACGTGTCTCGAACCGTAGTCTAAAAGCTATTACCTAACACGTTGTCATCTCTGTTCATTGTCTGATTTCCCTCTCCCTTTTAAAAATCAATAATTATTTATGTATACAGAGTGTCTTAAAACTGAATGTTTTGATTGAATGAACATCTCATTTTTGATTTTACTTTATTCTATTTCTCTCCTTGAAATTTACTATTATTCTTAAAATTTTAGAATAAAACAAACCATTACAGTTGAGGGTTGGAACCTTTGGTGTTATACAGCAAAATAAAAACACTAAATCAGCACAATACACCAAAACACTTTTACTTTTACACTGGACGCGCGTTTCGCTAACCATGTTAGCATCATCAGCAGATGATTATAAACTAAAAGTTTTAAACCATTATTAAAAATAAAAACCATTATTAAAAAATTAAAGAAGGAAATAAAATAAAACTGTCTAAACTGACTATCTACTAATTATAAAATTATAACACATAAAATGCTCATGTAACATTTCCGTAGGATTGAAAAGCCACGAAAGAAAAAACAAAAAAAGAAAAAAAAAGAAAAAAATACAAAAAATTATAATACAAGCCAAACAAATCTGGAAAAAGCTTGAAATTTGGAATAACCCAATAAGACAAAAGATAAAATAGAAACCTACTTATAGGACCACCCTCGTACATAGATGTCGCGTCGGTTTAAAACATCTGGAAATAATTGTCTTCCAAACCATTACCCGCAAACATTATTTATGTTAAAGGACCTGGAAAGTTTCCCATTTTCCAGGTCGACGTACTATAACAAGAAAATTTTCGTTTAATCTTCCCCTTGTTACGCATTTTTACGCGAAAAAAAACGAAACACAAGGCTCGCTGATAGGAACGCCTAGAGCCATTAAAGAATTCATAAGGATTTAGCACCGTTCTTATCATATCTTTGGGTTGGTTTGCATCCAGTGGTGGCACGTGATACAATACTTTCTGGTGCAGAATGGCTAGAAAATTAAAATTTCACGCGACAACATTCAAAAATTATTTTTTGGGCTATCAAACTGCTATATTTTCGTAAGCATTTCTTTAAATTCGAAATATTCAATTTTAATACACTCTGTATACATAAATGAGGGGTTCGTAGTTTCATAGTTGTCGATTTCCGAAAGAAATCGGTACATGTATATTATTTCGTATATTTTTCATTTTATTCATTTTATGGAAACCACTGTTCATTAAAATGTTGTATCCTATGTTATAGGGCTTGTTTCTCTCTACAATTTCCTGTCTCACAATGTACCGTTTTTGTCGGGGAAGGGATCATAGATTCATAGTTGTCGATTTTCGAAAGAAATCAGTACAAAAAAAAATATTTTTAGCCCTAAACTTTAGCATGTGTTTTAATATCGCGCACAGGGTTAAATTTTATGGACTTGATCCAGTTCAGTTCTGAAAGAAATCAACAAAATATTCAGAAACCAAACAGAAATAAGTTATAGCTGCTTAAAGTATGACTTGATTCATTTCTATACTGGAAAAAAACAATATTTTATAAAGGGATAAAGACGATTATCTTAAAATAGTTGGAAATTGGACTTTTTAATTCTGACCACTCCAAATAGTTATTGATTTTTAAGATATTATTTACAAATTAGGGAGAGGGAAATTAGACAATGAACAGAGATGATAGGTGTTAGGTAATACCTCCTAGACTACCGTTCGAGACGCACTAGTGTTATTTTGGTTTGTAAACATTTTTAAAGGTAAAGTAAATGTTTTCTTAGTATTTAACTAGTGTTAACTAAAGCATATTATTTTGTTTTTCTGTTGTAATATTCTGTGCTAAAGCTTTTCATTATTTATTTGACTTGACAAAGGTATTCTATAACATGTGTATGTATTTAATGGAATCGATCTATGCTGTTTAGAGCACATCGAGACATAGACATAGAAAGGAGACAAACAGGAGACACGTAGGACCTGCCTTTGAACAATAGCAAAAATACCCTGGTTGGCTTTTTTTTTTTATTTTTCCTATGGCTTTTTAATAAAAAAGGATAGAATTTAAATTACTCTTTTTCTTAAGAATAAAAAAACAATAAATTGAGGGTTTACGTGCCTATGTGCACTTACTGAAGATACGCTACTGGCAGGTTTGGTTCAAGGGAAAACAGCAAGACAGCAGAGGGAAATCACTAAATTGAGAGTAAATGGGGTTACGAAAATGAGGGAAAGTCGGATATGATTCGTAAGTCAACAAGGGAAAGTGTGAAACACGCGAAAACGTGAAAAAAATGGGTCGTTGAGCATGAGCTCTTAATGTTATTACCCTTTTTCCATAAAGGGTTTAAAATTGTTACATAATATACTGAGACAAAACATTCATTTTTAAGACACTCTGTATACATAAATAAAATTATTGATTTTTAAGATATTATTCACAAACTAGAGAGAGGGAAATCAGGCGACGACCAGAGATGATAGTTGTTAAATAATAGCTTTTAGACTAGATTCGAGACGCATTGATATTATTTTGGTTCTTGAGTTTTGTGACAAAGAATGTTATTAAAGGTAAAGTAAATATTTTCTCATTATTTAACTAATGTTAACTAAATCATATTATTTTGTTTTCTTGTCGTAATTCTGTTCTAAAGCTTTTCCTTATTCATGTGATCTGACAAAGACAATATATAACATGTGTATGCGTTTAATGGAATCTATTTATGCTGTAAATAATTTCAGTTTAAAAGTAACCTAAATAAAATCGTTTACTGTTCCTTCGTTCCGATGTTTGTAGTCTGTGAGAATAAGGGCCTTGTTGAGTGTACTAACACTTTTCGATTATCAGCTCGCAAAAGGGCAAACAAAAACAATAAATAGAATAATTTTTAAAGATTCTAATATATATATATATATATAATTTCTAAAGATATTGGCACCAAACCTTCAACTATAGCGTCGATTCCGCAACAAGGGACTTCGTGCCTACGGGTGGGAACCCGTTAAACTAACAAAAAACGCTTCAGTTTTGAATTTGAACGATATAAATGTGGCATGTTTTGAATGTATTAAACTATAAACCTAGGTATGAGGACAGTTTCTATATTATTATTTCTCTTTTATTAAAGTTCAGGACAGCATAGTTAGATTCTCTGAAATAGTGATCATGGTTTTCTCTGACGTGCTCTTTTACATGTGAATACGGCACTCTATTCATTTCATTTAATAAAATAATAGGGCTATTTACAAATTTAGCGATTTATTTACATAACCTATTCTCCTCAAATTTCCCAAAATATTGCTTCTGTCGAGGCGCATCCGAGGTAATTACAATAAAAAAATATTTAACACAACGTAGGTTCCTTTCTTTCATTTAAATTTCTTGTTATACAGTTGGCCAAAATATTACCTCTTCAACTTTGTTGACAAATTTGGGTTGTTACACTACAATACCGATATATTATTGTGTTTAATCTGTGTGTGTCAAACATACAGCCTATAGCCACAAAAAGTATTATTTTTTTAGATTAAGAACAATTTCATTTTTATAAATACTAATTTTTTCATTTCTATCATTTACAGACTAAAATGGGCAACAATTCGGATAAGCAAAATGAAATTAGGGGATGTGGAAAAAACATAAGCGTTATACCAGGTATGTATCAGGTCAAAATATACTTAAAGAAGAAACATTTTCTACAAATTGCTCATATTTAACCGAAAACAAATATTATAGGAAAATAAATTACAATTTAATATAAATTTTATATTAACGAATTTATAATAAAATTGCTGCTAGAAATGCTTAGTATTTACTCTAGTGTTTACCGCTAGAAAATTAAACTGTGCGCGCAAAAACTTGGAAAGCACGTAGCAAAATATTAATGTTTGATTTGATTTTGAAAAAAGCTGATCGATATTTTGCAACGATGGATGCAATTTTTAATGTTTTTGGAGTGTTGTTATACAATATATCTTCTTATCACTCTGACAATTTTTTTAATTTTGAAATAACTGACTGACCGTTATCAAGTCTAGATTATATGGAAAGTGGCAAGTTAATCAAGACGACTAGAGATCTATCGTGTCCACCTTTCTTGAGTTATAACCGGTTTTCTCACAGAGTCTACACTCGCTGTTGTTTCTCAGCTTTCATCTACTGAGGTGTTCATTGTCTTGTTATAAACTTCCTGACAATCCCAAGATCTCTGTTACTTAAATCAATGAAAATCTTCGCTCTTAAAGCTGCTTGATTATCGGATAAGAAATGTTGCTTTGTTTTTTTTTTAGTTTTTTTTTGTTTTTTCTATAAGATCGAAATGTAGGTACCTACTCTTAAAACCTCTCAGTTACTTTTTCAAAGATTTTGTGAGAAAATGGTTGATTTATTTGCAGGTGGATGCCCAGAAATATTCGACGGCGTTCTGTGTTGGCCTGAAACCCCTCCTGGAACTACGGCCAACTCGTCTTGCCCGCCAATCGGCTTCATGAATGTCTCGCAGTTCGCTTACAAGGAGTGCTGGGAAAATGGCAGCTGGTATATCAACGAACAGAACAATAAATGGACGAATTACACGCAGTGTGTTGACATGGAGTCATTGGTAGTAAGTAAATTCACTTAGAAAATGAGTCAAATCAACTAAAATAGTATACAGCAAATAATAAAAATAAAATTTTATGAATTTTGATATTAACACTCTATACCTAACATTAACCGTTTTTGAGAAAAAAAAATATTTAAAATTTTTGGACGAAAAAAACTGTCTGTCAAAAATATGTGTATAGTCTAAACGTCAAATTAAGTGATTAACGATTTGTGTTGTTACTTTATATTAAAGTTTCAGTTAATTCGAACTGTTGTAGAGTAAGATTTTTTTATTTATAATTATTTTATTCAAGAGATTGGCAATTTGAAAAGCAAACCTTATTAAGAAGAATGACCCAAATAAAAATTAATTTGAATACACTCCATTTTCAATCTTTAATTACGGTGTTTTTGTTGCGAATTAACCATTCTTCAGCAAATAGCATCACATTTTTTGTGAAAAGTTATTTTGAGGTATTATACAAGGCCGTTTTCTGTATTTATAGCATTTCCAATATTCCGAATTTTTATGTAAGCCATAAACATTTCACTCTCTATTAAACAGTTTATTTTTTGAAGGAGAAAAAAATATGGAACTCATAATTCGCAGCCATATTTTGGATAATAAACGTACTCCTAATAGTAGGGGACAGTGATGCCAACTCGTGGGAAACTTCCCGATTCGTGGGAAAATTCGAGATCCAGAAGGAAAAGAGAAATTTTAACCCAAAACACCATATTCCTGAGAAATTCAAAAATTCATGTATTATTCGTAAAAAATAGTTATCGAATACGCATTTCTCAGCAATTTGTTTGGAATTTTTTTTAATTTTCTGTTAAAAAACATAATATCTGTATTGTGTTGAAGGCACTGTACAGGGTGAGTCTTTTGAGACGCACCCGGTATATTAATTATGTATTTAAAAACTAAAAAAAAATTCAAAAAATTCCAAATTTTCAAAAAAAAATCGCGAAAAGAAATATAGAACATCATAATAGTGTTTCTGTAATACTACACTTTTACTAAAATTATTTTTAATTTCCCAAAAACGGGAAATTTTGACCGTCTTTATGGAAATTTATATTTTAGAAAGTTGGCAACACTGGTAGGGGTTGGGTTGGATTTACTCAAGTGCAGCGCAATACCATCAGTAGTATAACAACTAAATTCATAAAAAATACCATTTGTTGCGAACTTTTTGGTACGCCCTGTATGATGTATTGTATTATTAAACTCCAATTAGTTCTATATTTTTTTTTATATAATCTTTTAAGAAGTATTTCGTTACTTCTTTGGTAATCAGCCCACTTAATAGGATTGTTAAGTTCCCAACTTTTGACTTTGTCTTCTTTTCCTTATAGAAATAAACTCCATTATAAATATTTTGTTCACTTCGCAACAAGATTTGAGACAAAAAACACTTCAAATTTGATTAAAATTGCCAAGTTGGAGTTTTTTGCTTTATCTCTTTTTATACCGTTTTTTAGAATTTTATCTGTTTGAAAAAAAGTTTTAATCCCAACTCTTTTGATTAAATCAATGTTGAAAATTCGGAGTCATTTTTTTTTTCTTTATTAAGTAATATGTAGGTATAAATTTATTTTTTGTTCCATAGCACCTGTTAAAATTGCTTTATATCTATCAAAAATAGTAGATAAAACAGTACTTTAATACGGATTATTTTTTCCAGTTCTTTGATCACATCAACAACTTGTACGTTATAGGCTATTCCGTATCGCTGGTGGCATTGGTAATATCACTCTGGATATTCCTGTCTTACAGGTAAGATCTGCTTTATAGTATTTTGTTTAGCTAAAGAATATAATATGAGAGTATAGTGCCTGTCTTACAAGTATACAGTGTGAAGGCTCGAATCTGATCTGCCTGAATGTTACGGTTGAGTTCCCAAGGAAGGAACTGCTGACTCTGGACGCTTGGGTTGGCTGGGTCCGCTATGTGTGCTGCTCCCATAAGGATCTGTACTGAACCATCACATAATTCATGTAAATTGTATTTTCTGTCATTTTTTGGATATCGCTTGACGATATTCTTCCCTGACTCATTGAACAGACTTTACTCTAAAGGGAAAATTAAAGGCAGTTGAAAAAGTGTCAAGTATACGATCTTGCCTTTGTGAACAGTACAAAAATTTATACTGCATATATTACAAATGATGTCAGATGTATTGGATTTTTTTAATGGAAGATAACATTTGAGGTCATCCGCATTTCAATAAATCCTCAAGGCATTGACAGTAGAGTTTTGCTTTGAGAAAAAACTGTACGTGTGTGTAAGACCATTTGCTGAAATAATAAATAAATAAATAACGCTTTATTGTGCAAAAAGCCAAAATAGCTTCATCGACAAAGCATTTACAAAACAAACAAAATCATAAAAAAATACACAAATAATAAAAAATATACAATACAAATCATACAATTCAAAGAAATTTAAGTCATTAAAATTACAAATAGAACACACATGGACAATTGCAGAACACAAAAAAAGGCGTATCAATAAAATTTTACAATAGGAAAATTGTAAATGGATATTATAATTTTAAGAGTTATAAAATATTAAATACTCGCTTTTGATCAGTGTGTGAGATGATCAAAATTTTAAAATTCAAAATTGTTCATGATGAAGCATCAACAAAAAAGTTGTTTACCGCATATAGGGCTCTCCCCAGTAAGTACGATTTCAGAGCTTTATGAAATACGGAAAAGAATGAAAGCGACTTGATATTCAAAGGTAGATGATTGTACATTTTTTTGGCATTGTACAGTATTGATCATTTAACTAGTTCTGAGCTCGGAGTTGGCAGATAAAGATCGTGCTCCGCATTCCTAAGTGGATAATTGTGAAATAACCTTTCGGGAATAGCAGATAATATGTGTTTGCGGATTAAGCAAACGGATTCAAAAATGAATAAAGAAGGAAGAGTCAGTATTTTGAAATTTTTCAAGAAATTCTGGCAGTGAGTTCTACTGTTCAGTCCCGATAAATATCGAACTGCTCTCTTTTGAAGTTTGAAAATACGATCAAATTTTCTTGCGCAGCAAGTACCCCAGAATGGAAGGGCATAACGAAGATGTGACTCAAAAAAGGGCATAATAGGCTATTCTAGACGTTGATAAGTTAGGAACTGATCTTAGCGCAAAACAGGCAGCGCTTAGTTTCTTTGATAAAGCTTCGATGTAGTATTAATTAATGAATATTTATTAACATTATTTTTCTAACGAATTTTTTATTTTTACAGAACTTTGAAATGTATACGCATCAGGATCCACATCCAACTGTTTATCACCTTCATTCTAAACAACATAATGTGGATCGTTTGGTACCAAATAGTCATTAAAGATGTAAAATTAACATTCATGAATCCGGTAAGTATCTATATAACCTTCTCTACACTACTCGCAAAGTTCCTCGATGATATAATACTGTTGACTGAAAAAATAAGAAAATGCGCAACTTTATACGTTTCAAGCGTTGGTTGCAGAAATAGTAGAGGCACCACCGTACAGCATTTGAGACGTAATGGGAAATCAAATCAGTCTACTCACGAATTTGCCTATTAGGTTTTTTTTTTCATAACAAAGGGCCGTCCTCTGCCGGAAACACTGCGACCTGTGAGGCCTATTGTGTTTGTCTCCCTTCTATATCTGCACCCATTCTCCTATCCCTGTGCCCTGCACTAGCTTATGCAGGTCCTTGATAGGATGGGATCATAGTTCCTCCGGTTCTAGCCTAGCTTTCCCAAATAAAAAGTGTCGCTTGCGATCCAGAGCCTCGCAATGACATATTATGTGCTCCGCTGTTTCAGGATCTTTATCGCAGAGTCTGCAGCAAAGACTTCCTTGATACAGGTTGCGCTTGTTCAGATAACACTTGACAGCTATATGTCCTGTCAAGAGGCCTGTTGTAATCCGCACTATATTCCTGCTAAGCATTTGCGGTTTTAGAGCTAGGTCCTTGGATAAAAGTCTTGCTGTGCCTCTGTCTGTTTCTCCAGTGGACATTGTGCTTTTCCCTGATCCAGAGTTTTAGTGCACTACGGGCCATAATTTGGGTATTCCCAGTACTGGCTCTGGACCAAGATAGGATGCTGATGATCCCTGCCTAGCTAGCTCATCGGCTTTTTCATTGCCTTGAATGCCGCTGTGGCCCGGCACCCTGAATAATTTAATTCTGTTCCTTCATGCCAGAGCTCCCAGTTCACCCAGGCATTCCCAGACGAGTCTCGACTATACCTTTGGGTACATAAGCGCCCCAAGTGCCGCCTAACTGTCTGATATTATCTGAATAAGCTCTTCTATTGTGTTCTGGAATACGGTTGAGTAGGAAAGGATAAGCTTGCCCTTGGTCTTTCCCCAAATACTCCAGCTCCTGTTCCTTCAGCGGTCTTTGATCCGTCTGTATACCAGGTTAGTCCATCCTGAAGGAATGTTATATCTGTCCACATTCCTCGATCCATTTTGTTCACCTCGAATGGCTTGTGGTAGTGATAAAGAGGGGTCATTTGGTCCGATCTCATTTGGAGTAAAGGTCCTCCGATAGAATCTTCCATCTTTAAGTGTCCTGTTTCTGTTCTATTTCCCGGAGACAAGACACTTTGTTGTCGATAGAGTCCCATTCTTGCCTCCGCCTGCATCACTATGTGAAGAGGCGGAAGGTCCAGAAGCGCCTCCATTGATGCAGTGGGCGTTGATTTCATTGCCCCTGTTATGCTCAGACAAGCAAGTCTTTGCACCTTACTAAGGCTGAGCATTGCATTGAGTAACATATGCACCAAGGATGCATATGTTACTGAAGGCCTCACCACTCCAGTGTACAGCCAGTGCACCATCTGTGGTCTGAGGCCCCAGATTTTTCCATGAAGTCGTCTGACTACCGCTAGTGTAGTCACCGCCCTCCTTGTGACATTTTCCAAATGTCGGTTCCAGGTCAGTTTGGTATCCAGCATGATTCCTAGATACTTGACCTCCCCCGAGAGAGGAATCTCATCACCGCAGAGTCTTAGAGGTCCTAGTCCCTCCAAAATGCTTCGTTTGGTGAAGGGGATTATTATTATGCCTATTAGGTTGCCTATCTTCCCAATTTTTTCAATCAACGATAATAGATAACTCTGGAAGTTAACTTGATTTTCTAAAGTTGTGTATTCTCAAAATATTGAACCATGTGCCTCCTCCCACACTACATAGTAACCTATAGTGTTATTATTTCAAAAATTATGAAATTACGTGTGTATCTGTACTTTTCTGTAATTACTGATATTAATGCTTAACTTTTATGGCTTTATCAGCTGAATTATTGAAAATAATTTTATGAAAACGCCTAAAAGCACAATCAAATTTAATATTACCGTGTTAAAGCATTTTACGACATGACCTTTCAGCTGTCAACTACGCAATTCAATTTTAGGAAGTATATAAAATGAAAATTTAGTATGTGACATGTGTAGCATATAAAGTGACACTTCCTTTTAGTTGTTAGAAAAAACAAGAAAGGCGAATACAGTTCTCTAAAAAATAAATTAAATTATATGTGTGCTGACATTTCTTCAAAATTGATTGACAAACGATTGTCGCTCTCCATAGCTTTTGATAATTTCGGAGCGGTTCGGCTTTTTCCGGAATTATGTCGCCAAATATTGTTTATTCAAATTTATGAGGGCAGTTTATATTTTGAAAGATTTTATAATTTTTGGAGAATCTGACTTTGCCAAGAGAAAATGATTTCTATTATTGTTTGGCGGTTGTTCTTAGCAACCACTATAGCAGCGCCCTACAACGTATGCGCTCCAAAACAATTATATGTTTTGGCTGCAAGCCGAACATTCCAATCCAACTTACCGTTGTTACTAGACTCATCCTATATAATTTATGTATTAAATCCACTAAGAACATTCTCTTCTGTGATATATATCTTCCAGAAAAATACCCACACATCTGATAAAGGATAAACGACCCTTTTACGAGAATATTCTTCAAGGGAAATGCTATTTCTGCTTTGTCTTGAATCAGTCTTTATTGGAATACCTAATTTATGGCTGTGCTTATCTCTCGGACCATACTGTCGGGCTGACTGCTGATTTAAGACAGGGTGAAAGGCCATAATGCGGCAAACAAGGAGTTACGGCCATGTTAACGTTAAATTTTTGTAGCTACAGACTTTAAAAATGGAGCTGTTAATCTTTTTTTAATGAGGGGGTGGTAAAAAACCTTTTATAGAGATCATATAGACGAACTCTAAACAGTGTGGAAGTCGAATTGTTACCCACTAAAAAAGTCCACCTCCGAAGAGTCAGCTCCTCACCCGGAACCGCCGCATGGCATTACTTCGGGTTCGTACGTGATCTTGGGGTTTATATCTTATTTATGTTATTTTAGTATAGAAAATACTTCTGGCCGCACTTATATGGGACCCGTCTTTGAAAAAACGACATGCTCGATGCAGCACGAGTTCAATAACCTGCCTAATCAACTTGTCAACACGTAAGTCGATAGTTTAGCCGGCGTTGATCATCGAATAGAGCAAGGACGTTCGTTATTCCCTCATTTCTATATAAAAAAAAATTAATAATTTTTAACTTTTAATTTTTATTGTGAAAATTGGTGAAAAGTAATTTTTTTGTACGGCGAATTTAAATTTATGGGCCATAAGTTCGCATATTGGTTAAACCTAGGAATACCCAGGTAATAGTCCGAAATATGCAAAAGTAGAAGTGAGTTTAGGTTAGATTAGAATTAGGTTTTAGTTGGTTTTGCATTAATAAAAATATAGACCTAATCTAAACTTAAGCTAAACTGACCCACTTTTGTACATTTTGGGCTCCTGGCACTCGTTACTCATAGGCGTGTTTCTGGGGTTGGACTATACTACCGGTTAAAATACTTACGCTTATTTCTCGGACACCCTGTATACTACCTTTCAAAGCGCGTGTTTTCAAAGAGCGTGTCAAATTATTTTACCTTATCTTCATGTGAAAAGTTCATTCATTCAGAACACGTTTCTGCTTATAAAAACTAAAAGTAAAGTAAGTTTGAAGGTTCCTTACTTTATTTTTCCAAGCGTTTCTTCCATTTTCTTTGACATTATCGTCCATACTTTTCAACTGGAAATTAAATTGAATTTTTTTGTTTGCTTTACGTTTGCTTTCGTTTTAAAAAATAGAAACTTTCAATTAAATTCCAGTTAATGTTTCTTTATATTAGATTTTCTTTTGATAAAACAACCATTCATTTGTACTTGAAGTAATGTTATGTCGCAATATACAGGGTGAGTGTTAAATAAGTGCAACTATTTCCAGGGCTGGTAGATCTCGATAAAAGAAACATAGTTTCTCTCCTTTTTATCGAGAATATCCTAAAATAACCGAGAATCCATCGAATCCAATCGAATAAGGTGGTTAACAAGCTAAACAACATTTAGGTTATAGAGAAATTACTAGTTTCATATTAATTGCAAATTCTCATAGAAAGTAAGGAACTCTAATTAAACTTGGATAAAATCGACGTAAAAGAAGGCCCTATTGACAGCTGTTAATTTCTCTTAAAACTAGTAGAAATGTAAATTGTTCCATCCTTTTGCGTAACTGGAAAGTTTCGCTAATCAAACAGTTTGCGGCTTGATTAAGGAGGGAAACGTTGTAGACAGATCGGCTTTAGGAATTTGTACCTCTGTTAAGCCTTTATCTATTAACAGTATATAAATAACTGGGGAATAGAGATAGAAAATTTAGCCTGATCGGTTTCATTGGGATTTGCACAGTTTCATGACTTTATTATTAAATGTTTACTTTTAATTTAATTTTTTTCCATAGCAACTGTTAAAATTGCTAAATTATTTTAAACTAAAACTAATTTTTTTTAAACATAGAAGCACAGAATATATATTCTGTGCTAGAAGGAATGACCCCATATTATCCTAACCCAAATAAGTCGCCGAATTAGTATTCCGTCCAATCAAAACATTAGAGTAATTTCCGCAATTTCCCAAACCCGCCAAATTAGAGAAATTAATGAGGGACGAAATTAATTAAAGAACAAGACGGCCCGAAAAAAACGGGTCTAATTAAAAAATACGCCGGGAGAATAAAAATCAGTTTTTTGGCGTTAGCCTCGTGTTGATCCTTATTGTTCCCCATTGTTTACCCCCAAAATTGCTATAAATTCAGCCACCCTTTCACGGAGAAGAGGGCAAGTTAAATATTTAAACAATATTTTTCGAAAAAATATGTTTTTCTTTTGTTACGATTCAATATTACTTCCTTTTTTACTTACGATGTTTGTTTTTTTTGCTGGATTTGTTTTTATTCAATAAAAAGTCTTTATTTATTTAGAGCAACAGGAGAACATATTACTGAGTAATCCATTATAAATGAATTTAAAGAAATAATTGAAAGTACTTGAATCATTTATTAAAATGTTATGCAATTATATCTAAAATATACGGAAAGGAATTTAAAGAATTTTTTTATATATAGCTTTGATAATCTGTAATAAACATTTTTTTGTTAAAATGGATATGGTAAACAATGTTTATCGTTCAGACCCAATATTATTACAATACGAAAATGCTCCTCCCCATCGCACTTTAGCGGTTCGCGAATTTTGTATGGAAGAGGGTATAAGGAAAACTGGGTGGCCACCGATGTCTCCAGATATGAATGTGATCGAGCATGCTTGGGACATGCTAAAACGCCATATTGCCAAAAGGAATGATCCCACCGTATCTTAAATGAATTGAAAATTGCTCCGCGCGAAGCATTGGAACCCATTCCTCAATATCTTCTGGACAACTTGCATTGAGGCTCGAGGAGGCAATACAGATTATTAGTTGTGAGAAATAATTAAAATTGTTTGATGATAGGTCTTCTTCTAGGTCTCTTAATTTCCCGTGGATACCATGCTGTAATTTTTGTGGTCCATCTATTGTCCGTCCTTCTTGCCAGGAGTCCTGCCTATTGCCACTTGAATGATTTGACTCTGTTGATGACATCTATTACCTGGGTCTTTTGTCGTATCCACTCTATTTTTTACGGTCTTTTTTGGATATTGCCAGCATATTTCCTTCCATTTAGCGTTGTCCGTTTTAAATGTCTAGGTTTGGCATGCATAGCTAATTTCTTCTTTAGATAAAGTAGCATTATAGATTTGAATATGATTTTGAGTTTCTTCTATAAGTACTCCATGCTAACTTAATGCTTCTGTTGATTTCTGGTAGTAGAGACCCCGAGCTGTATATTCGTTGTCCCAAATATATATTCTTCTACTATTTCCAGTGTTGTGTTATTTAATAGAATACTTTTTATGTCTAACTAGTTCGTTGTACATTACTTTAGTTTTTGCTAATTTCATTTTAAAAGTTAGTTTATTACTAGCTGTATTTAGTTTGTTAAATTATAAGATATTTATTACTTCTTTTTTAATTTCAGTTCTGGTGTCAAGCTCTCCATATCGTCAAAGAGTACTCCATGGTGGCAAACTACATGTGGATGTTCTGTGAAGCCTTGCATCTCCATTTAGCTCTGGTGGTTGTCTTCGTGAGGGAGGAGATAACCATTAAATGGTTCCACGCCATAGGTTGGGGCTTGACTTTTATCATAGTGCTGATACACAGTATGGTTAGAGTGTACGTGACAAGAGACACCCACAGGTAAGTTAAGCTGAATTATTAGCATATTACTTTTCTTGTACATAACTTGGAAGACTCCATCCGTAACTCGGAATCGGAAACTTCAAGTGCCCATCCACATACAGTTCACGGGCAGTCCAGAACTGTCGATTTGTATATTGTCAATTAAAATTAGAGATGGGCAAAAGTAACCGGTTTTTTGAATAACCGGTATTTTCCTCTAAAATAACCGGTTATTTAAAGGTAGTTTTTTTTCATCAGTTAACCTAATAACCTTGCATTACGTTCAATAACCTATAGCCGGTTATTTTTTAAAAAATCGTACTTGTTTAAAACAAGTAACAATTAAATATTAGCTGTTTGAATCGTAAATTTCGAAGAAGCGAACGGCACGGATCTTCCAGATATTACGACGATAACGGGAGATCCCGCTCCCACTCCCAAAACGAAAATATATGACATCAAACATCAAATGTCAAAATTAAATCAGGCATCAGGCGAACCCTGATGATAATAATCAAAACAACGGCCGAATGGCCCTGACAGGTCAGGCCGTAAAACAAAGTACTAATGCCATAGACTACTACTAGCCACCAGCTAGCCAAGTGATACGAACCTAACTTCAAATAGATTCTCTAAATTCTATATTTAAATTTTAACCGATGGATTTTCAACGGTTCTTCAAAAGTTTTCCATGGTTTCGCCCAGTTTCACCCACGTTTCGCCGTAAATATATTTTATTTGTAGTTTGAAGTCTCTCTTGAAGCTTAGACTAAAGAATACAAAATTGAAGTTCAAGTAATGAATGAAGATAATATTTCATTAACTATTCATTCAGTCTCCTTATTTTTCTTTGGTATTTGATTAAAATAACTTGGTTGTAGATTGTAGAACTTGTGAGTTGTGTGGTTTATTTGAACGTTAAGTAATTACTAGTTTTAATATCATATCCATGTCTACTCAAAAAGTGAGGTTAGCATTTTTATTTAAATTCATTTTGTACATATACATACTTACATTGCTACAATCTCTATTTAATCATGCGATTTAACTAAGTTTATTATCTAAATTTGAAGTAACCTATGGAGTGTAGAGGTAAGTAAACCTATAGGAAAACTAAATATTTAGTTTTGCTAGGTTAGGTTATTTGAATAACCGGTTAATTTGTGTCGGTTAATTTTGTCAAGTTGTTATTTTTGAAAGATAATTCCGGTTAACCTATAACCGGTTTTTTACCAATAACCGCCCATCTCTAATTAAAATTTCTCCATACACATGCAGGTTGTCGACAGGTCTGAATCTTCAGATTACTTATATCTCACGGCTGACTGAAGTGTATGGCGAAAAATCGACAGTTCAAATCGTACGTTCCCATCTTTTGGTAAGTTGGAAGTTTTGTACTGTCAAGATGAGTGATTTAAGTAATATTGTTTTTTATCTCCTGAAACATATTTGGAAACCGCTGTTTTAATGAATACCCACACCAGAGATCTCACACAGCGGAATTTGATTTGACAGCACAACAAATTAACTACAATACGATAGGACTTTTATTTAAAATATTTAAAATATTGAAGAGAACACTTACCGCTCTAATGAAACTAAAGCTTCACTGAATAACTCAATCACACAGACGTTATTAAAGTGCCAAAGTAACCTACTAACATGGCGGACATTTAAGCCCTAATATTTTATTCATGATTCATTAATATAATGTAGTGTGTTCGTTGTATTAATAACATTGTTCATTGTCACAATGTACAACTCATTAATCAATGATTTAGTACATTAATGTAATGAATATGTGTTTATTAAAGTTTTAGCACTAAAATAAAGAACGCGTTCATTATATTAATGAAATTCTTACATTAATTTAATAACCAGATTTTCATTAACTGATGAAATTAGATTCATAGTATTAATAAATCGGACATTGATCTATGATTAACAAATCATTATATTAATGAAAAAAATCATTGTCCCAATGAAACAACAGTTAATAATCAATGTTCATTAATATTATGAACAATATTTTTTTCAGTGCCGAGACGAGGAACTCTCGTGTCATAAACTTTGGTACTACTTACTGATATCGGAGATAGAGAATTAATCTCTGTGGACCCGTCTCAGATACTGGCTTTTGTCAAAGCTCTGAGACTGTATGATGAGTTATAATTCAAGAAAAGAGGACACAATAGATCTGTAAGGCCGCAGTGATTAACCTGCTTTTATTTTAATGGATATAGACTTCAAATCAGTATCTATCAAAGTCAAAATCAGACTACCAGTCAAAAGTTCAATAAACCTAATATTTTGTTCTTCAAAAAAGTTCTCTATTTTTAAAATTAGTTCCACAACAAGACTAAACTTAAATCTAAAAAAAGTAGATACTAATACCAGACCAAGCTACGAAAATTTAATAAGAAAATTCTTATGTAGTAAACAACTTATTCAAACGAAGTTCCTTTGACAATATTGATTAAATCAAACAGGCAGGACGGCGGCTTGTAAACTAAACGAAACGCCTTTGAAAAATTTTTCATTCTAACGAACGAGTCTTTCTATTATGATCGGCGAAGAATTTCGTATCAAATAAATTCTATGAGATCGTTGCCATTTGTCGGTTCGTGAAGGAATTTATCTCCTTTGGAGAGTCGGATTGTTTGCATAGCGTCTGGGAGGGTTTTTTTTAGAAAGAAGGAGCGAAATCCTGTTTGATTGCTATATTTGCTAATGGGAATATATCATTCCATGTCTTTTTCTTTGACAAAAGTGACAAATTTATCTTCTTTCTTAGCGTATGTTTAAAAAAAACAGGTACACAATAATAAAATTGGATAAAACCTACAGGATAAAATAAATAAAACGATTTTGAATGATTGTTTGAACTAGCAATTTTAAATTCTTCTGAGTTTTTAACAAAAAACTAGGATAAAATAAGAATTTGAATTGTGGGCGATGCTTGTTCAAACAGATCACGTTGCGAGCTTATTACGTTTTCGATTGAGTTGCAGTTTCCTCATCTGTCGGTTTTCCAAAGCGCACAAAGTGTTAGAAAATGTAGTAAATTACGAAAAAAGGCAGAAAATAACTCGATTTTGAATAACCTAGCTAGAAATGTCGATGAAGATCGAATGAAAATAAATTAAAGAGAAAAGACTCAGTTTGAAAGGGCATTTTGTAATCAATAGAATATTTAATACCTTGTTTATATTTCTGAAATAAGAAAAAATAAGATTTATTTTTCATATCAACATAGGTCCGATTCTGCTTTGTTTCGTAGCTACAGGGTGTTAAAATCTTAAATTTTTTTCGATTTATTATAATTTTCTTCCAAGTACTTAGCGTTTCGAATGAAATTTCGAGGGTAAAAATTACTATAAATACGACATATTTTAAAGCTAAAAAAGTGTCGCCATATTTACCAGGGACGTGCGTATGAGTTATCACTGGAATATTTTAAAAAAAGCATGTAAGCCACTGACCTTTTTCTCTCTTGTTAGCGTAATAGTGTAAGTAGTTTAATGCCGATCAAAAGTTGCCTCTTGATATTTTATTGATTTCGGTCTCCTTGATGAGATAAACGCAATTTTATTAATTTGCTTTTTTTTATCTTCCCCTTCCCCTTCCCCTTCCCCTTCCCCTTCCCCTTCCTTCCCCTTCCTTCCCTTCCCCCCTTCCCCTTCCCCTTCCCCTTCCCCTTCCTTCCCCTTCCCCTTCCCCTTTCCTCCCCTTCCCCTTCCCTTCCCCTTCCCCTTCCCCTTCCCTTCCTTCCCCTTCCCTTCCTTCCCCTTCCCCTTCCCTTCCCCCCCTTCCTTCCCCTTCCCCTTCCCCTTCCCTTCCCCTTCCCTTCCCTTCCCTCCCCTTCCTTCCCCTTCCCCTTCCCCTTCCCTAATAAAATTTTTATAATGAATGTACCCTGATTTTAATACAAAAAAAATAAATATTGTTGTTATATGAATAGAATTAGTTATCACATTTTGAAGGCCAGGATCGTTAGTCCTGATTCCCAAAGCAAGCAACCATTTTGCATATTTATAACTTTACCTCATTTCCAGCAGGATCTGGATCAAGTAAATGATAATGAAGAACAGGACAGTTTACGGAAGTTTTTTTTATGAGAAATACCTCTTTGTTCCATTAAAATCACTTGTCTGTTTTGATTGTTACATTCCTGAAAGCTGGAAACTTAAAAAACTATCTTTACTTCCTTTTTTTAGTCTAACTTTTTCTTATATATTTCTTAGTTATTTTAGAATACTTCGAAGAAAATTGCATCCAAAAATGAAACATTTTGATTTTACGTGCCTATAAAATCTAGGCCAAGGTAAAGTCAAATACAGAAGTTATTACGTTTGTTGTTTATCTTTTTGCAGTTTATTTTACGATGGTAGATAAATTTATATTGAAGTTTGTTTATATTAAATCTGGTGTATGCCAGCAAACCAGGAACTCTGTAATATCGTCGACGTTTCTTGATCCGCCAATAACTTTTATAGCGGTATCGATTTTCGAACTAAATCTTTTTAGTGTTTTCTTTCAGAAAAATAATTCTAGCTAGATAATATTTATAATATTTGTTGATCACATTTTTTTGCAATATCTTGTACGGTTTTAATCTTTTTGTGAAATCTGTACCTGTGTGGATGTTGTAACACGATCTTCATATCAAAGTGAGCTCTATCTTTTATACGTGTCTATGAAAAAAAGGCTCATTCACTAATAAAAATAATACGTAATACGAATCCATTTATTATCATGTTTAATTAATTCAGCAGTTAATAAAAAACCGAGTACGAATATCAATCATTCGGCATGCCAGATGCTGGTTTCAATATTTCAATAAAAAAATTGGATGGAAATGTATATGTGTGGTTTCTATAACGTCTATTTATTTATTTAACTAATCCGGTGATTATAATAAAAAAATAGTTATTAAAAACGTGGTGATATACATATACTGTGTGATAGATTAAGTTGGTATCGCAGGTATTTAGTGTTTTAATAAGATTATTACATTTTGTCGTTAATTTTATTTTTTTTACCAAATTTTTGATAGTTTTAAGGAAAAAATGTTTACTTTTTTTTATTTGTGTGGTTTTATTTATATCGACAATCTTTCAAGAAAAATATCTACAAACATTTTTGATTTGGCCATAGGTATTGAAATGCATGAGAAAAGTTTTGTATTGTTTTTTAAACAGAATAGCAACATAGAAGTCTTCAAATTTGAGTGCTAAAATAAACATTTTCAAGTTATAGTTGTTTTTTTTATTGAAAATGTAAATGGGGAGTAAGAATTTAGTTCTATCTATGAAATTTGGAATGTAATACCATCTTAAGCTTGATTTTATCCGATTATTATACCATATTACTTTTATTGGTTGAACTTAACGACTTCGGTTGGATAGGAAATTATGCAGATTTTAAATTTATTGCATTCTCATACCTCCGTTCATCGGATATACGATTTGTTTGTGATTGGTGTCATTTTATATTTTCATTTCCATAACGATTTCGCTGTTTTACTTATAGTATAAGAGCTAGCAACGTTTTCGAGAGAGAATTGCTATACTCTCGTGAACAGAGTGCGAGTCTGGCTGCCGGTAGACGTTGCGTTTACTATTGCGCATCATATCTGTATTCAACATCTGTCCACTACCGCGCATCACAAATTCGCCCTGTATTTAAGGTAGTGATGTGTCGGTATTTGAGTAACGCAATTTTGGAGCGGTATTTTTTGTAATGTCGTGTCGCGCTCCACAACGAATCAGGAACCTGGTACTGAAGAACGACGATTATAATGACGACAAAATTATAAATTATTAATAATTTGCAAATAAAGTATTTATAATCGCACTTGAAGTTAGCTCGAACCGTAATAACCGCATAGCGACGTGTTTAGCTCCAGCCGTCGCGATTTCGTCGGTCGCCAACAGTAGTATCTGGAACTGGTATGTCCGTAGAGCCGCGCGATCTCGATCGGGACGTGTTCGCTCCAGCCGTCGCGCTCCTAGAGTTGTAGTTCCCTGTCGCGAACAGAAGTAACTGCTGTAACTAGGCATCGACGCTCGACCTCGGCGGCGACCTACCTCGCTCCAGCCGTCGCGCTCCTAGAGTTTTAGTTTTCTGTCGCGAACAGAAGTAACTGCTGTAACTGATTATCGACGCTCGACCTCGGTGGCCACGTACTTCGTTCCAGCAGTCGCTGGAGCTCTTCTAGGGTTTCGGTTTTGCCTGTCGCGATTTGGTCGGTTACTATTGGCCTTGGTGCTCCCGTCGCTACGTTACTTTCGAAATAACGATTTTTGGTATGTACTAGGCATAGCATAAAATAGTGTTGTTTGAAAGATGAAACGCAAAAGCAAATAAAATAAAATAAAAATATTTTATTTGCTTTTATACATTTATATAAGTTTTATTGTTTATATCTATTTTTAAGGTTAGGTTATACTAATAAACAATTCTTTTGACAGTAGTTTGGACTTTGTTCTTCATTTTAACATTAAATATATTATATTGCAATACACATAAATATGAACCGTTCATTTTATTTAAACGAAAATTGTTAAAGAAAAAAAATAACAAGGAATGTCACTGATTTTCTAAAAATGAGATAGATTGGCTATACACAATTATAAACTCGATATTTGGAAAATGAGTGGCGGATAAAAGTTACATTAATCTACAAATATAGATAAGTTAGATATATTTTCAGCGAGGACCGCAACAGTTTGGAAGTGGGAACCTCGGTTACAAAATCGCGGTATTTAGTCGCGGTATTTTTCTGGAACGGTCGCTATTGTAACGCGACTCACGTGGAACCGGTATTCCCATCACTAATTTAAGGAACTAAGGAGGCTAGGACAAACCTATGTCTAGCATAGTCGAAGCAGATTTTAATGCTCTTTCAAACTATATTAGTGTTTCCTATGCCTATCTGGCTCAGATTTTGAATAAAAACCGATTTTTCAATAAATTGGCAATCAAGATGGCTGGTGTCACCATGGCAATTTGCTAGTGACAGTTAGTAGCGATTTTCAAAATCGACATTAGTTTATGGACTTTATTTAAATTTATAACAGTTTACTTTTATTTAATTGGCCTACAATAATTGTTTAATAAGCAAGTATTTATTATTTTATTAAGAAAATTAAAGAAGTAGATTTATATTACGATGACTTGTAGATATATTGGATTTTCTATAAAAGAACCAATTAAGGCAAATTCATTTTCTTCACTTCCAACGACTTGTTTCTGCCTAATAGGTTTTTGCTTGTCAATAGGAACGCTTGTCAAGAAAATTCCTATTTGGATATCTTTGAGCATAAACCTTTCTGGCCAACAAGCAATTGTCCTCAAATAATAAAATCACTAGTAACATATCCATTCCTTCCGCTAGCAGAAACTGCTTTATTTTTCTTGATAAAATAATAAATATTTACCCTTATTGTAGGTAAATTAAATAAAAAATAACCTGGTTATAAATTTAAATAAAGTCCATAAACTGATGTCGATTTTGAAAATAGCTACTAATTGTCACTAGAAAATTGCCATGACGACACCAGCCATCTTGATTACAATTTTATTCAAAATCTGAGCCAGATAGGTATAGGAAACCCTAATATAGTTTGAAAGAGCATTTCAATCTGCTTCGACTTATTTAAAAAAAATACATAGTGTTGCATTTCAAATAACAAAGTTTTTATGTAAAATAAATATTTAAAATAGACCAGCAATTTTTGATGCCCCTGTATACATTTAAAGACGCAATAAATTTTTTTAGGAAAGCTTATTTTTCTGGCTTGAAAGTCAGCACAAGAATTAATTCTGAGAAGTAATGTACAGGGTGTTGACAACCTTTTTAAATATAGCATGCATATTTAAATATCTTTAAATATCTGAAAAACCAAAGCTTTTAAACATATTGAACCCTTATAATAAATGCCTTATTTTATGTCCAAGAATCCAAAAATGCAATAAAATACCGGGTGTTCCATAAGAAAAAAAATATAACTTTGGTATGGATCTTAGTTCTGAGACACCCTGTAGGTACATTTGAAAATAATTTTAAAATGTGCACATTACTTTCCCACGTATACCCATAAAATATTTTGTTTCTACATCTTTCCGTTTTCGTATAATCGACCTAGGCGAATGAGGTGCGCTACCCTGTATTTTAGATGGTCAAGATCGTATACGGTATTTCTAAAAAAAGAAAATGTATCTTGTTTAATATATCATTTCGGGGATATTTAATCTTCTTTTATACCTGTCGCCTCTGATTATAGTTTTTCCAAAGAAATTCCTGCGACTTTAACGTTAACATCTTTCCACCCTTTTTCATATCTCTTCTCTTGTTTTTCTTTCAGGAAATTAGCAGAGTTTTAGGGCCTATTTTCATTTAAGAATTTCCCCCTTTTATTCTTCGGAATAATATCGCAAGTAAATAAAGGGAAAGGCTTCTTGAGTCCTCTCGCCAGATCCGACAATCCTACTTTTGAATTATTAAATGCAATATTGTTACGATCGGGAAAGAACAATATTGATAGAATTAATGCTTATTTTAATCAGTTGTTTAAGAGAATATTGAATAGGTATTTTGTATTTAACGTCTTATTTGTTATTATAATTAAATATTTGTGTTCTGATTCTAAATAATTCGATACAATGAAATTATTTGTGAGAATATTATTTGTTGATTGTAGATTATTGTAAATTATTATTGCGTGTCCTTTTTTTGAGTTATAACTCATCGTACAGTCTCAGGGCTTTGACAAAAGCCAGTATCTGAAACGGTTTTACAGAGGTTAGTTCTCCATCTCCGATATCAGTCGTACCAAAGTTTATTTTAGGCACGAATGGGTGTCGTCTCGGCGCACTCAGTGATGTGGTATTTCCCCATTTTTCCTCACAAGATATGCATTGAATTTGAAATTGTTGGGTATAAAGTTTTTAATTTTTTTTAATTTTAAATTCAACTCTGCTTCTGTTAAAAAAATTAACTGCAAATTAATATTATTCTATTTTATTTCAGTTGTTGGTTGAACGAGAGTACGTTTGCCACATGGTTTCTTACCGTACCCATTGTGATAACTCTGGCTCTATCAATGCGTAAGTAAAACTTTTACAAGATGTTTATACAGAGTGATCAACAATTAAAATAGTTTACAATATTAGAGAATTTTTTTTAATTTTTTTGACTTCATTTTGACCAAACCATACACATGATTTAAATTATTTTGTTTAATTTTGTGATTATGCATAAATGTTATGATATAATTAACTTTAACAATGTTGCTTTAAAACCTATTAACAATGTAGTTGCTGTAACGCATCTCTAAATATCTTCTTCAGTATTTGCATCGCTGTAGGAAGGTAAACATTCAAAATATAATATAACTAGTTATAATTACCATAAAATCACATAGTTGAGGTTGATATACTGTTTACCCTGTAGGTTTTAGCTTGTTACAATTTTGCTGGTTATTAAAATTGATAGTTTATGAAAACAAAGTATGTATTATTCAAGGTATTCAGATCTTTCCCTTTAATTGCAGGATCTAAGCATCTAAATTATACAAGGAAATCAGAAAGTTCTTAATGAAAATACAGTATTTGCAATTGCCAAGACGTTATAATAATTATTACATACTACTACTGACATTACTTACAGTGTTTTATCATTACTAGAAAAATAAATAGAGAGTTTCCGAATTATTAAAACCATTATTATAACCAACTTATTTTCCAAGTTTTACACTTTGGTGCCAGATTGACTGTACTTAATTGCATTGCAAATATTTTTGCATTTTTTTCCATTTCATGTTTTTAATGGGATTTAAAATATTCTCCTAAAATAATACACAAAATTAAAATAATTTCAATATAATTATATAATCTCTACTCAATCTGATTTGCTGATACGGTTCAGAACAATGAAATATTTAGTATACGAGACAAAGTTCCATATCCTGGTATTTTTAAAAATAACCTATAATTAAACTTTTAATCGCTTTTGTTTGTCAAAATCGAATTTGATTTGTTGCGTGGCTTCGCCTGGGGAATATCCTTTTTGGAATAAAAAGAACATCGCGATTTATTCGTTCCCAAAATCCCAAAATTCGTTCTATTTATGTCAGTCAACTTCAAATTGAGTTTGTCAACGATTAAACAAATGTTAAATTTGTAAATTTCACGGTTAAAATAAAATTAATAACCTCAACTCGGCTATATATTTTGAATTTACCTTTGAATAAAATTATTAAGGAAGGAACAATAAATTGACAATAAATCGCAAAAATGTTTCGATTGATAATTTGTTTTAGCAAAATTAAAAAAAAATAAACAAAATACAAGAAGCAAAAAATTAAATCTTTACAAAAAAACTCATTGGCATGCTTCTATTCAACCTGTGTCTTTTTTCTTATTGTTACAGTGTTTCTAATCAACATTCTGCGAGTTATTCTGACGATAATGCACCCCAACTCACCGAACCCTGCACCCATCGGTATCAAGCGAGCCTTAAGGGCAGCCCTTATTTTGACCCCTTTATTTGGACTGCAGTTCATCTTGTTACCGGTGGTGCCAGATAAGGACAATCCCTTGTACTACACCTACGTGTACACTGGAGTAGTCATCATACCATATCAGGTAAACATTTTGTATGACAATTTTTACTTATATTCGATACCAATCAAACTTTAAGTTACGTCATCGAGAACGCGATTTTTAAATTTATTGTTGCCAACCACGGATATATTGGGTAATAATTCTACGCAGTGACGTCATATTGGATTAGCTACACTTGGTTGACTATCGTTCTAGTACTGTATACGCAAATTAACAGTGAAAGGGAAGTCGTGTGTAGCTGGCTTAAGCAGCTTGTACACAAATTCCATGCGGCAAATCGTACGATATTGCCACTGATTTTGACAAGGAAGCGTTTAATTATAAGCTACAGTACGTCTGCCCGTTCTGTAGCTACGGGGTAACCGTGAGAGGGGAAACGATATTCTCTCGATGTTTTTCGTAAAAAATTAGACGACGCGTCCCATCAATAAAAATTCGACAAATTTGCAAGTAGCCAATAAAATGAGTGGGCGGAGCGATTTGCGGTGACGTACTCGTCAAGTCGACGTATAAAATATATTGCTGTTTATTTAAATGTTTTTTGTCCGCATTCCTTTCATAGACACAGATTCAGCAGATGTACTGTAAGTTGTTCAAGAATTAAAAAGAAGAGATAGTGATAAAATTCATTCTTCATAAAAAAATTGTTATTTGCTAAAATTGTTAGCCTCATTTATACTTGTCCAAATTTTCATACCGTTTTAGAGAACATTTAAAAAGAGTGTGAAAATATAAAAGAATTTTTTCCAAGTCTTGTGGTCAAAACACGTTTATATTTTGCTGTTTAATGGTTAAAGGTTCCAACCCTCAACTGTAAGCCTCATTTATACTTGTCACTACAAAGTAATCTACAAAATAAAATAGTTACTTTTTGTAAACACTTCTGCGTTAAACCTAAACGGACGCTGCTTGTGTTTACAAAAAATAACTATTTTATTTTGTAGATTTTCTTGCAGTGCAGTGGCGAAATACCCATAAAGGATTTTTTTGGAGAGATGAATCCGCTACATAGGTATAGACATTTTTTACGTTTCTATAATTTCGTTAAGAAGAGTATAATGCGTTTATAATGTACTGAACAAAGAGAGGACAGTAAACACGTTGCCAAACGTATGAAATAAACCAAGAAACTGTGCACGCGGAAGGGGATATAGCAGATTTGTCGCAGTTGACCGGTCGACCCAATCAACACCTCTGTCAGTACTTAAAGTTCTAGGGAAAGGTGTACGTCATGCGTTCAGCTTCACGATTTAATTACGTCTCGTGATACTTAATTTGTTTATTTATTAACGAATCGTTGTAATTTTTCCTATAGCTTGAATTTTTTTAAGTGTAAGCTAGAAACACTTGCATTTTTGGTAAAAATAAGTGGAATTGAGTGGGTGTTCGATAGTGGTCGCGCTATTAGAACTCGAAAAATCGATATCTCGAAATCTATTAGAAATAATAGATTGTAGTTTTTCAAGAACTTTGTTAATATTTCTGCTGTATTTTCTTTGTAGACAGTATGTGAAAATCTTTATCAATAAAAAAATTACACGATTGCTGAAAATTGCTATGCTCTAAAAGTAAATGGATGGATTGTTTACAATTTTTGAATGGAAAAAACAACCTTATCGAATTTTTCTTATGTAAACATATTGTAAAATATCCGATCTTGAAAATAAAAAAAAGTTTTAATATCTAAAGTGGTTCTTGAGTTATGGCCTGTTATGTGTTAAAAAGTTGAGTCTTAAATTATCGAGATTACTGTCGTTTTCTCGTTATAAAAAAAATGACACCCTAACGATATCCTTATAATTCCATTTCAGATGCTCAGAAACATGTCTAATGATTTTATCTAGTTATCTCTTGAAAAAAAAGCCTTTTCAAAATAAGCGGTTTGCTATCGTGATTTTACTTTACTTGATAGGGAAAGGCGTATCGGCAACGCCGCAACAGCACATTTCTCTCACTCCGACTTAATAAGATCCCGATGCGATTTACTTCCACACATGTTAATGTCGACCCAAAAGTAACAGTTGCCAGCACGGTATGTCAGATAACACACTAGTACTATAAAACATGTTTTTTTTAATTTTCATGTTTTTTTTAATTTTCTCTAAAACGGTATGGAAATTTGGAAAAGCATAACGAGGTTAACCATTTTAGAACAAGTGTTTGTGAAAATTATATTTTTCTCAAAATTTCAATAACAAAAAAGTTTTTCCTGTTGTAAAGACAATCCGGGGACATACTGTATATAAAAACTGAGTTTCTGTATATTTCATCACAAAAGAATTGGATAAATAATAAATGGCTGAGGTTTATAGAAGCGATATATAAAGAAATATATATGTTAAAAGATAATGGAGATGGAGAGGCTGAAATCCTTTTTTTCTAGTCTAGTCAGAGATCTAAAACCCATTTACATAAAAAATAGATTTGGGTTAGTTTCCATTACCGGGGATCGTGGGAAATGGAACGTTTAGTATTGCTATCGAGGTGTGGGGATTTACATTAGACGTTTAATTTGGATTTGGGCTACAGAATTGAGATACAGAAGATAGTACAGGAGATAGTTGGAATGAAATGAAAAAGAAAAAATAGGAAAATAAATGAAAATAAAATTCAACTAGTGTTATGGTAAAATCCTCGTTAAATTTTCACCAAAGGTTCCGTATACAGACTATATTTTTTGTGAATTTCAAATCTCAGCGTGCGATCTAATAATATGCATAATACTAGTCGTAGTTATTATAAATAAATCAACTTTTACAAACTACTTTCTAATGCTCTACATGTTCGAAAGGGTGACCACCGTCCCTATTGCACAATTTTATTTTTCATTTAATTTTATTTATAGCTTTTTGAACTTTCTTCTTAAACTTCAGAATGCATTTTAAACTCTTTATTGTAAATGTTGAGATGTATTGATTTCACTTTTACAAATGACTTCATATAATAAAAGTAAAAAATACAGATCCATATTTAAAAAATATAAGTTGACCTCTGTATCTCACAAATTATCAGCTAATTTGAAAATCTAAAAATTCAGAATGTGTAATTAGTTTTTTGATTTTGTAAAAAGTAGCGACAGGAACGAATAAAATTGATTTTCAGAAAAAAACTTTTTTTCCAAAAAACTCAGCAATCAAAAATAAATAAATATAACGCGCCCGGTATAGATTTACATTAATGTGTGTGCAAGTAGATTTGTAGAAATACGCTCGAGATCAAAGTAATTAGGGGAAAATTTTCAGATATGGGCTTAAAACCCACATTAACCTAATAAATTATCTACAAGCATATTAATGTATCCTGTCGTATCCAATTAGATCGAGAACATGGATTATGAACAGGAATATATAATATACATATGTTTACCGTACTCCTGCATCGACAACATGTACGAATATATGGCGCTCTCAAGGTTTCTCCCTAAACTAGATTTCATCAGAAACATGTAAACATAATAGATAATATATCTGTCTTTTGTTTATGATGATTTTAGGCATAATTTTGTAGTCTCGTCGAAAGCAATTAGGGGGTGACAAGGTGACATGAAGGGAAATATGAGGAGACATTCTTAATTAAATTGGTGAGAATCTTAGAAAAACCTGAGATTTAAAAAAATAACCTGCTATAAATTTAAATAAAGTCCATAAACTAATGTCGATTTTGAAAATAGTTACTAAGTGTCACTAGACAATTTGCCATGACGACACCAGCCATTTTGATTAAAATTTCATTGAAAAATCGCTTTTTATTCAAAATCTGAGCCAGATAGGTATAGGAAACCCTAATATAGTTTGAAAGAGCATTTAAAGCTGCTTCGACTTATTTAAAAAAAATCATAGTGTTGCATTTGAAATAACGAAGATTTTATGTAAAATAAATATTTAAAACAGACCAGCAATTTTTGATACCCCTATATACATTTAAGTGTTAACAAACTTTTTTTTATTATAGCAAATTTTTTATTAAATATCTCAAAAACCAAAGCTTTTAAACATATTAAACCCTTATAATAAATGTCTTATTTTATGCTCAAGAATCCAAAAATGAAATAAAATACCGGGTGTTCCATAAGAAAAAGTATAACTTTGGTATGTATCTTAGTTCTGACACATCCTGTACACTTCAAAATAATTTTAAATTATGCACATTGCCCTCCCACATATACCCATAAAATATTTTGTTTCTACTATCTTTCCGTTTTTGTATAATCAACAGAGGCGAATGAGGTGCGCCATCCTGTATGCGTTAAAATTAAATTTTGATTAACTACACGATGAACGTAATAATCCTGCAGTCCTGGATCTTAGACTAATAGTTTTTGACAGCAAAAAGAACCAATGCTGTAAGTTACATTCCAGGAGTATAAAATGAACTCCTTGGAACGTTGGCTTGGAAATATTACTTGCTGCACTTGACACACTGCAGCGCAAGGGTTTCCGTTCCACTTATAAATAGCGGGGAAAATCGAATTTGCAGTCGATATAAATTCCATTCCGGGACCACGACGTCTGGTCTGTGCCAGAACCGAAATTTCGATGCAAATGAGCACGGACGTTTCGCCCCTAATTACGCAGCCCGATAGCTATCAGAAATTTCGAATTACAAATTGCATAGGCCACGTCAACGCTATGTTTCAAAACGTTTCATGTGACAGAAGGGACAAAAAATGACGTGATTGTGAATTGGGCTTTTCGTCGTTTAGATTTATGATGTATGTCACTAGCATTGTAGTACCAAACAGTTAAAAAATGACCGACAAAAATTTTGGAATAAATACGGATTTTTTTTTGGGGGGGGGGGTAACAAATTATACCCAATACGTTCATTATAGTCTAAGATTAATTTGCAGTATTATTACGCTTATAGTATCAATCATCATCATCATCATCAAGCAGCCTCCTTTCACGTCTATGGTTGAACATAGGCCTCCTCCAAACGTCTCCAGTTCTCGCGGTTTTTAGCTGTTGCAATCCAGTTAGTTGTTATTCGTTTCAGGTCGTCGCACAGTGTTTTGAAGTATA